GTCGGCTGCTCATTACCGATTGGTAATTACCAGCGGGTCAGGGTAGGGAGGGGAGAGGGAGGACCGCGTCGGTGGGTCATCAGCCGTAGCAGCTGTCGGTCGTCAGTGCACGAGGATATCTCGGGCCTCATCGGTTCGTCGCAACTACCGCACGCTGTTTGGTCATCGGGTGATTGATTCCCCTTTACCGTGAAAACAGATGCCGCGCCAGAAAGCCGATGCATGGTATAAAAAACTTTTTTTTTGCAAAGAAAAACAGCTGGTTTTATCATAACGCTATCAGACCATTGTTAACAGACTAAATACAGTTCCCCTAGTAAAAAGTCCCTCCATTTCTGAAGAACGCCTAGCTCAGATGCTGCGAGACAATAATTAACCATATTATATTTTCTTTTGTAACTGGTCTGAGCTGATAAGATCAAGGATGTTGTCATCTCCATATGTCAGCTACTCAATGTTGTTTAGTAATTGGCAGTTATGAGCAAACACATATGCTTGCTAGCTAGCTAGCTCTGGCTAGCTAACCAGAGCTAAACAGACCACAAGTTTACTTCAGCACATTGCGGTCCAAGACTTGTGTATTGAGTCCCGATTAGGTTTATTTCCAGATATAACGTCTTGCTACGTTTTCAGAGATTAGAAGCGATTGATAACATAAGACCCAGCTGACGCCTTTCAAACAACGGCTCAGCCCAGGATAAGCCAATTATTATCATTATTATTACTTCGTTTATTTCCACTAACCACCAGATGGTGGGCATTACAGGGAAATGTAAATAACACACAAACACACACACACACACACACACACACACACACACACACACACACACACACACACACACACACACACACACACACACACACACACACACACACACACACACACACACACACACACACACACACACACACACACACACACACACACACACACACACACACACACACACACACACACACACACACACTCATACGTATTCGGTGATTAGTACAGTAGCTCCAACATAGGCGAAAATCTCAGTACAGTGATGTTAGGTACACACAAGATCAGGTCAATTCAAAATAGACATACAGCTACAGGAGCACGCAGACCCGCAAGAAATATCACGTAAGGTAGCGCTGGTATCAGCGAGGCATAATCAAAAACTCGGGTTCAGTGTTGTTCCAAATAGAGCCATGGCAAAATGTGGACCCAAAGACCCGGTTCCTGGAAATTTTCTGACGGGTCCAACCGGGTCATACCATAAACCAGACATCTTGCACACTACACATGATTGCAAAATATGAAGTGAACGGAAAAAAACATTTACTCATGTATGAATTTCTTTGCACACTGTAGCTCATGAGAATTCCCAGTGGGAAAAAGCTGTTTTACATGATGCAACTGATGGTTAGGTATACCTACAAATATTTTGAATTAATTGACTTTTGGGGAACGGGTCCAACTGTTTCCGATTCCAACTTAGACCGGGTCCGACTGGTTCCAGAAATGTCCAGTCGGGTCTGGTTCGAGTCTGGTTCCCAAAATTTGCACCTTTTGCCACCTCTAGTTCCAAATTCGGACCAAGTGCGAAATTGATCTCAGCTGGGCAAGGGGTTTTCGGGCTAATGCACGGATCAGTGCTAGATTTTCGAACATAAATCATCCTCGTGAATCGCCACGTGCCAACATGAGAATAGCGCACTTCTATCAGGATGTTAGAGGCATGCATCTCCTATGTACGTACAGCATTGTCTGTACATGTTAGCCAATAGGCGGCATAGACCATTGTGAGCATGAAGTGAAGTTGCAACCCGTTCAGGACAACGATCTCACTGAATGAGTTGAAGATAGGTGTCTAAGATCTCTCGACAAAGTCGCTGACATACACGTGCATTCTAAAACGAGTCTCAGCTCGACGGATTCTCATTCCATTCCGCCCTCGTGACAATAGCTAGCAGAGCAAAATCGCCAGAAATAATGCATACGTGGTTACATTCGTCTAGACACCTTGTCCTGGTGAGACTTTCACACTGCACGTATAGCACCATTCCTGCGTGGGATTGAAGACATTAAGCCACTCCTCTGGGGTTGCTTCGGCCCTCTCTGCGGCAGGTAGATATCTTGCTTTATTACGTCCCCGGTGAATAATTCACAACGCCATTCATTTTGATTAGGTGGAGGTACGATAAGGATGTAACCGGGCATTGCAGATCAGGATTTAGCTCCCACAGGTGAGTGCTAAAGCTATGCTATGTGGGAATAGCAGAGAGGTGTGCTGACTCCCCAAGGAGTTTGATGAGCGATGTGGGGCTCTATATATGACCGGAAGGTGAATGAATGCCCGAGTCTTTGCTTTGGGAACTGTCTGGAGTAAATCATGCCCCTTGAGCATCGGAATGTATGTAATGCTATTTACAATCTGCATGGAATGGAATGGAATGTATCGGAATGTAATAAATGAATGCCTATTTCTCCCAGAGCAATGCCTAAGGTTTCCAATAAGGGCATCAATTGGAATAAGCCTTCATGCAGCATTTACTGCCTTTTTGCTGTTCCAAGAGGCATTTTAAACCAATAAAAGCTCTCATACTGAATAGCAAAAGATATTGAAGTTATGGATCTTTTTCAGACAGACAGCGCATGACTGTCACCATTAACTCACACTGGTTCAAAAAAGAAAAAGAAAAAAAGAAACGAGAGTATAGTTAAATGTATTCACTGGACAAACCAAGCGCTAATGTAAGGACTACTAATGTCACAACGGTTTGATACGTCTTGAATAAAAGAGGGTTTTACATAACAACGCAAGTGTTTGACTTTACATTGTGCTGCATGCGCAATGGGATAGAAATATTAATTACGAAGAATACACACAGGACTGCTGTATCCCAAACAGTCCACAGAATGCCTTTTCAACGTTCAGCTTCTACATATATAAAACTGAGCTCTGTAGGTATATTGCGCTCAACTTTGTCTTGTTTGACCTTAATTGCGCCATCAGATCTGTAGGAAACGCCAGTACTCATTTATAGCTCGAAAATTGTGACGTGGCAGTTTTTTTTTTAATCAGCCCTACAGTGTTATTTTTCATGGATTGAAACTAACTGGATTAGAATGATAATTGAGTCAAGAGCCACGCTACATAGGTGAGTTCTTGCGTAGTTCTGAACTTCATTGGTACGTAGTACATACCTATCATATCACATGGAAAGGTAAGAATGCAGATTGTAAATAGCAATGCGTGCATAACCTCCAAACTTTGGCCATGTACAGTCCGCAGCAGAAGTAATGTGTGGTTTCAGTCATGGGTATGTTCTGCTTCTGAAGCCTAGGAACGATTAGCCAGACTGCAACGAGACTTTAAATGTAGCTTACATGTACGAGGAGGTACCCAAAAGTAACGGGAATCGTTCTCTGTAGGCCAAGCCAGTTGTAGCTCGGCATTGCCCTGCTAGGGGCAAACCAGTCTGGCCCCTGGGACTTAGTCTGCACCGTGAGGTGACGAAATAAAGAGGCGCGGCCGCGTGGCGCACGTATTTATTGAAGCACTCCCGCCCGATCCGTCGTTTTTTTTATGCATAGCGGAACTGAGCAACAACGCGCATCTGTGAAATTTTGTTTCCTGCTGGGGAAGTCCGCGACTGAAACGGTTCCAATGCTTCAAGTAGCATACAAATATGCTGCCGTGAGCAAGACGCGGGTTTATGAATGATTTTCGCGCTTCAAAAGTGGTTAAATGTTATCCCAAAAGCGCCCCAAAAAAGCTAGCCAAGTGAAGTCAAATGTCAAGACAATGCTGATTTGTTTTTTCGATGCAAAGGGAAGTGTGCAAAAGGAAATTGTTCCTCCCTGGTCAAACTGCCAATCAGACGTTTTACTTGGACGTTCTGCGGCGTGTGTGAAACACGGTGAGACGAAAACTCCCCGACAGGTGGCGAAGCGGGGAGTGGTGATTTCATCGCGACAGTGTGCCAGCGCACACCGCCTTGAGTGTCAGACAATTTTGGGCAAAAAAAGCATGACCCCACGGATCCACCCTCCCTATTCACCGGATTTGGCATCCCGTGACCTTTTCCTGGTCCCCAGAATGAAAAAGACCTCAAGGGAAACCATTTCGACGACTTTGATAAGGTAAAAGCAAACACGACGATGGCTCTGCAAGGCATCACCTTGCAAGAGTTCCAGAGCTGCTTTGAGGGCTGGAAAACGCGTCTGCATAGGTGCATTGTCTCGCAGGGAGAGTACTTTAAGAATGACATAAGTGACGATGTGTAGGGATCAGTGAATAAACAGCTATGAAACAATTCCCGTTTCTTTTGGGTACCCCCTCGTATCTTCACCCTTGCAGCTACAACTTTATCTATTGACGTCTTCTATTCAATCAGTCCGCATTTAAAAATCGTCGGTCAAAGCCATCCGTTGAAATTGGTAAAACCGCACATTACTTTAGCGGTGGGCTGTACCTACTGGCTAGAACATCTCGCCACCCACTACTCGTTGCAGGAGGAGGGGGGAGAGGGGATGGCGACTGACATCAAAGGCCTCAGTCAATAAATTCCGGACCACTAGTCTCAGCGAGGCGCGAGACATGTCACATTTCAATCCTTGGACTATGCTGGCTAATGTAATGGACCGCCGTCCACGAACGCTCTGCTACTTACCCCTACATGTATTGTACAGGGTGTCCACGTCAAAAGTGTACCCACACTTTTCTCCGTATTTTACCTTAAAAACATCACACTCACAAACAATTGCCGTCATTTGAGAGTCTAGACAATGGCAAAACATTTGCTATGCTTTTTAACTGTGCTTGGAACTCTGCTGACCACTGCGTGCCGTCTAGAGCAACTGCTCTTTATGAGCCCCTTTGCGTTGTATGTACATGTTACGATTCACCCTACTCTCCCCTACCTTTAGTTCACTTCAAATGTTGAGACACTATCCTAAAAAAATATGTACCCACCTATGCCGGCAGGAGTCCAGGATTACCCATTTCGAAGATCGCGGCTTCAAGATGGAGGAGGCACAGTGCTGCCGCCAGGCGGCCAATTGCACAACTGATAACTCCACCTGCCTGCCGACGGTGGCGTTGCCGGCGCTCTGCGAGACTGTGACATGTCTCGGGGCGACGGCCGAACCCATCGCCATGGCTTGGCTTCCGTGGCTGGTGTGGACTGTGGCTTTCTGTCTCATGTTGGCTGTCGCCATCGGCGGCAACAGTGTCGTCTGCTGGATCATTCTAGGTGAGAACCCGACGCGGATGTGGTGTCTTAGGACTTAGGTGTCGCCCAAATAAGGCAATCGAACTGTTGGAGGTCAATGATATTCGAGGCAGCCGTATGAGAACTGCTGTTTCAATTAAAAATGTAAGGCAATGGCCGGAGTTTATAAGGTATCCGAACCGGATGAAGCCAAACATTCGTCTGACTGAGCTGCTGTTTCACCTAGAAATGTAATAACAACGGACGTCTAGGCATAACATTGGTTCAACAGTCACAAGCACTACAGACTACTGTGTAGTCCAGGAAGCAAATTTTATATGCATTTATATTTAGTTGAACGTTGGAACCAATCATGGGAAACCTCAAACTCCATTGCGTCAGCCAGCTTCAATTTGATTCAGCAACAAAAGCCCGCATAGAGTAAGCAAGGCAATTTTAAATCGAAATCAGGATCAATCGGTTTCACATCACCCAAGCGTGTGTTGTCGGCTACATGCTCTTTTCAGGTTTCTTATTTGAGGTATGCCAGAGCTGGGCCTTTTCGACTGAGCTGCAGTTAGCTACGACACGAAAGGCAATATTGTTCAGTCTATTGTTAGACGGCAGGAGTTGACTTACGTCCTCTCTCCTCTCTCTCTCTCCCTCCCTCTCTCTCTCTCTCTCTCTCTCTCTCTCTCTCTCTCTCTCTCTCTCTCTCTCTCTCTCTCTCTCTCTCTCCGCAGCCCACCGGCACATGCGAACCGTGACCAACTACTTCTTAGTCAACCTGAGCGTGGCAAATCTGCTCATGTCCTGTCTCAACTGCTCCTTCAACTTCATCTACATGCTGAACACGGACTGGCCATTCGGCAACACCTATTGCATCATCAGCAACTTCATGGCCAACCTGACGGTGGCGGCCAGCGTCCTGACACTGATGGCTATCGCCCTGGAAAGGTGAGGAGAGAGAGAGAGAGAGAGAGAGAGAGAGAGAGAGAGAGAGAGAGAGAGAGAGAGAGAGAGAGAGAGAGGGAGAGAGAGAGAGGGAGGGAGGGAGGGAGGGAGGGAGGGAGGGAGGGAGGGAGGGAGGGAGGGAGAGAGGGGGAGGGAGGGAGAGAGTGAGGGAGGGTTAAAGGGAGGGAGTGAGGGGGAGGGAAGGAAAGAGGGGAGGGCAAGGAAGGGACGATAGATAATAGCCGTTTTCACGACGGCCATCTGGTACACATTTGGTGCACACCTGGTGCAGACAGGTGCAGATTTGGTCAAATCAGGTTCAGTGTGTCTCTTAGTAACTATCAGCTAGGGTTGCACTATTTGCTTATATGCCTGCTTTGTCATATTATCAGAGAGTATCATCGATTAGAACACTGAAATAAATTAATAAAATGAAGATATTTGCTGTAAAAGAAATTAGGTGCAGATTTGGTCAAATCAGGTGCACTCGCCGGATAGGCCGTCGTGAAAACGGTTAATAAGATAGATAGATTGATAAATTGATAAATAGATGCATTGCATGGATAGATACAAAAAGACAGATGGAAACGAAATACGACCATTTATAATTCAAACCTTTCTAGTTTCTACTAGAGCGTATCGCGTTTAGCCAGTCATTATAATTACAATGGATTCAACAAATGATGAAAACGTGTTCAAATGGTCGCACAGCAAACGTTTAAGTACCTTGCTAATCAGGAAGAATTGAAAAGGCCTTTGTCTGAACCTGTCTTTCATTTTATTTCTATAAAAAGACGGGACATTTTTCATATCCAGGTACGCGAACTTACCTAGTACAATGGTCGTAGAAGAGGTCAGGTATTGTCCTTCTTGATTTCCGGCGGCAGCAATCTGCTATTTTTGCAGCCAACATGGTAAAAAGTTCTCATCGCATCCATCCGGGCTGTTATTGCCGGCATTGTGCGCATATGCAGTCAGCACATCCGAGAACAATTAGTCCAGGATTTCTAGAGAAATTATTATGCTTCAGCTACGCTTATAAGGCGGGTACCTAATCTCTGCATAATAACGGTAGGTTTTTGCCTCTGGTAGCGGCGTGAGTCGTATCAACTGTCATCATCTCCGTGGCCTTTAAGGTGTAATTACGTCGGAAATATCTTTTATCATTCAGCCTGCGCAATATAACGCATTTATACTAAACGCTCTAGCTATTAGATAAATATTTGCAAATAGTCTAAGATAAAGCGATGAAGATGTCAGGTAGAATTGATGCTGGAACTGCACGATGATCATTTCAGGTAGGTGCTAGATTGACATGTTCCAAGCAGAATGCATTGGCAAGGAATACCTATATCCTTGATTTAGGAAAGAGGCATGGGAGGAATATGATAAAAATTAGTTAGAAAAACCCAGCAACGATATTTTTGTACATTGAAGCTATAGTATCCTAAACCAGTTAGTTTCGATATGTCTAAGAATCATTTAACCTTCAGCTAATGAAATGAAGGACGAAAACGCTTTGGCAGTAATTGGGCAATGGGCATATCGCCTGTTGTAGAAATACCTAAATAAATGAATTGAATAAAATAAAATTAGTAAGTGCAGTTGCCGATGTCTATTGACAGAGGTATTAATGATAAAAGTACTCATATCCATCACGTCTAGATAAAGGCGTAAGTTGTGATAGGCAAAACCACCCGTTTGGGGAACTCAGACAACGGCTGCCTGCCTGTATTTTTCACAGAAGCTGTTTTTAAGGAGCTAAACAATGTTCGAACGATGCCTCTTGGCAACATTTCCTCTTTTTTCTCGCGAGTGCACCAGCCAATTTAATAAAAAGGACGTTATCCCCAGCGCCGCCCGCATGTAAACATCGAAGAAGCCGAGACAACTTTACAGGGAGAAGAGAAGAAAGAGGGCTAACATTAGCGTCGACGGGAGCGACGAGTTGTCTCCAGTCTCGGAAAAAATCAACATCCGATGCCTGATTTGGATAGAAGCTTCAGACGAACAGTGACGTCAACTGGCAGTGTCTTCCTGATTTACTTCGACACCTGCTCACTGATCAGGCTGTGTTGTTCGAGTGTGCGCTGTCAAAGGTCCGTAGACAATATGTCGCCTGGGGCACGTACAGCCGTCAGATTCAATGAGACAATGGGCCACGAAGGTCTGTAGCCACGGCTATTTATAATTCCCACCAGGGACCTGCTGTCGCGGGGACCATACAAACATAATCACGAGGTGCAACACAGACAATGTCAACAGCCAACACAGCAGTCGCAGCAAATATAGCGGCATCAGCACCAAACTTGTTTAATATCACGACGCTGCAGACGGCTGACAAATAGAACTCTTGCACAACGCCTTTTTACGGTGTCAGCTTAAACATGCACACGAGAAAAAAAAAAAACGAATAAACCGGTCGTAATCACGGTGCTTGTTTTATCCAAAAAAGTGTTTGTCCGATTCCCGCCGTCAGTCCTTCTTCGCATTGCTATTTCTCATCCATTCTTCGGGCAATACGCCGTGGAATAGCGTTGTTTTATGGATGAAGTAAAAACATTCGCAAAGAGGCATTGCATAAGATATTGAAAACGACATGCTTAGCCCGGCAGTTGCTGGGGTGGCGAGAGGCGCCCAAAAAGGCAATGGGCGCCTCTCGCCATAAACTCTGTCAAAACGGTGCACAATCCATCTTATAAGGCCTACAAGAGTGTCAGCTCCATATAGGGGTCAGTCAAGCATAGGTCAGGGTCAAGGTCAGGTCAACCGGGTAGGCACATATCCCCAAAAATCAAAACTGATATTCGCAGCCTGTGACACATGTTTTATAGGTAATTGGGGGCGTAGAACACGATGGTGACATTCATTTTATCATATATGTACGTGTTTGACTCAAAAAGTTCAATTTAAGAAATTCATGTATGTATCATGGTCGTGAAGTAGTCACGAAAAATTGCCAAGATTCAGTTCAAGATTTTGGAAAATGCGGAACGATAATCAATAATCGAAGATAGCCATTTGATTGATCATGGTATTGGCAGTCTAATGGCGTTTACGGCATGTCTGTATGTCTATTCTGTGATTTTATATGCTTTTTTGAACATATGCCGTTTTTGGTCGAAAACTCAGAAATCATGACGTCCCTAAAACCTCGATATCTCAAAAATTTCCAACCGATTTTTTTTTTTAACTTTGTCACAGTAAACTTCAATCAATTCCCTACAGGTACCCAAAATTTGATGGCCCGGCGAAAAAAGTGGGGGCGTTTAACGCCCCCCCCCCCCCCAGCAACTCGCGGGTTAATTGCGATCAATTTTACATCGATTGGTTGGCATGTCGGTCGTGCACGTCATGCCATCTAAATATACTGCTTTATGATTTAATCTTAGTTTCGCCTTCCGTGTCCGATGGAATTCCGAAAAAAAAACTAGATAGAAAACATCTCAATAGAAGATTAAACAAAAACAAACTTTCGATGTGTTCCAGCCTTGTAGGATCTCGCTTGATGTGAACAGGACCCTTACGTCGAATAACTAGCCTCTTTTCCCAAATAAAGTTAAAATAAGGCGGGAAAACGAAAATGTATGGTCATCTAAGGGTAAACACCACCTTTTGTTCGATATCGACATCTCACATCGGTAGGGCCGCTAGCGACTGCAGCGCGGCGTGTGCCACTACCACCAAACCTGTACTGGTAGACTGTACCGCAGTGTCTGCCGGTGTTGCGGCACAGTCTACCAGGCTGCAGCGCTGCTGCGCGGCGGTGCCGGCGAGGATAATATTGAATGGCAGAGGCTGGCGGGATTGTTTTTGACTGTAGGGATATGGAGAGGGAGGGAGGGAGAGAGGGAGAGAGAAAAAGAAAGAGAAAAAGAAAGAGAGAGAGAGAGAGAGAGAAAGAGAAAGAGAGAGGGAAAGAAAGAGAGGGATGCATGTAGGACGGGTAGAAACAAAGACAGATAGACAGACAGACAGACAGACAGACAGACAGACAGACAGACAGACAGACAGACAAACAAACAGACAGACAGACATAACGCACTACGCAGCTTGATGGAGATGGCAAACAAATCGAGGGGTCCTCTGTAGCATCTTTCCAGTGACTACCACCCATTTATTTCAACTTAAATAATTTCACCGCACCCGTAGACAAAGACTTATCGAATCCAACCCCTCACATAATTCCTCCTGTCAGACAAATACCATGTAATGCCTTAAGCGTATCACCAGCAGGCCTCCCGCAGCCCAAACATGACAGAAAGTAGCAATTATGGGCCGAAACAGCCTTATCACTATACCTGGAAACAGTTCCAGACATCAGACCCGCCGGCCGCCACCATGGCAACCTCATCTCAAACCATCTGCGCAATAAAACTAAAAAATGTAGCAAATGCGGGCTGTCGGGCTGCTGGCTTGTGAATCGCGGCCTGTCACAGCCCACGTAGAGATGGAAATGACATAAAAATGAAAACATGCCCACGTGATTTCTGCTCACGGTCACACCTTCGCGTTCTGGACAAACACGAGATTTAGACAACTACGGGTACACGCCAGGCTTACACAAAGAAGCGTGATCAAAACATTGTTTTCCTGCTCACTGCATTTATCATGCATAAGCTGCAAATGTCACTGAAGACTCTGTGATGGGTCTGATACAACGAAACCATCACCACACTCCCGAATCAATTCATGTTCAAATCTCCCACGGCAATGGCTTCGGAGAAAAGCTCACGGAGAAAATCGAGTTAGAGTGTTGCTAAGGCAGCCGCTCCTCCGTCTCACTTGAAAAGTGCTGCCGCGCCGTCGCTTCGCCCACCTATGGTCGTTCCCCGGTCGCTGATATTCATACGGACTGTACCTGGTCGAAGCCAGGTCACCGGGGACGAGCGAGTCGACCTAAGGAGCCCACGGAACGAGCCCGCCAGAAAACTTGTCCGACATTCACTGCCACGTCGAATGGAACGCTTTGTGAAGTCCCACCGGGACCCGCGGGTCGACAAGTTAGCGGCTGTTGCAGGCAAAGCGCACGTGGCTATGTTGTTGCACCACTTTTTCGTTGGCTTGTGATCATTGATTAACGACGTTGTGGGGTGTCTTATAAAGTTTGATGTAAGCATGGTAGGAGGTAAGTTATTCAACAGGCACTTTGCCATGAAGTTTTCACGCTGGCAAGCGCTGATCCGTGTGCACACTGCACAGTCGCCGAAATTGAGCCGTGAGGTTTGGGACATGAGTTACAGGAACCAATACAGCTGTTGAAAAACACGGAACAAATAGTGCATGGACGCGTTTCGATTATTAAATCTTCATCAGCATGACATAATCACAGAGAAAACAAGATATAGCACACAAACATTCGAGCTCGTCACAGTGCAATCGTCTTGATTTTCTGAAATTTTTGATTTGAAATCAAAATCTTGATTTTTTGAAATCAAGACGATTGCACTGTGACGAGCTCGAATGTTTGTGTGCTATATCTTGTTTTCTCTGTGATTATGTCATGCTGATGAAGATTTAATAATCGAAACGCGTCCATGCACTATTTGTTCCGTGTTTTTCTACTTGTCTCCATCAATATACAAATACAGCTGTTGTTTTATTCAGCTTTGAAGTACCCCTCACCGGAATACCAACCCTAATGTGAAATGCCAACACATCGCGTTAGCATGTATGCCAGGCACGATGTGCGCTTTGTCCTGTCACTTACGTAAGCCTCAAGTTAAGGCCAGCGAAAGATGCCTGATCTTCAGTTTCAGCTACAGCTAATAAACCCATAAACTACCCACTTAGGCCACTTTCGCAATCCGTTATTATGGTTCAATAACACAAGGCAACTTCCTCATAGCTCCCAAACGTCATGCTTACTGCAATTACAATTACTGTAGGCTGTTCAACGTATTTTTGCCGTTGACTCTGTTTGAAACCGATCGAAACTTAGCCGCACATGTTCCCATCGTTCGTAGTGTAAAACATGACAAAAGAAAGGCCCTGCTTGTGGATTTGGCCGCCGCAATCTGGCCAAACAAGCTCAGTCATAACTCATAACCTACCCTGCCTCCCTCAGATACGTCGTGATCCTCCACCCGCTTCGGAGACGTCTGAGCAAACGAGGTGCTGTCGGCGGAATGATTGGAATTTGGACGGCCAGCGCTCTGCTGTCGGCCCCTTGCCTGCTCTACTCACATGTCGTCACGCATGTGTAAGTATCGACGCGGTCGTGCGGTGGAACACGTGTTGGAAACACACACATCAACACGATCGTGGGCTGGGACACGTGAGGAAACACATATATCGACACGATCGTGCGGTGAAACACGTAGGGAAACACATATCGACACGATCTTGCGGTCATACAGTTGGGAAACAGTAAACACACATATTGAAACGATGGTGGGGTGAAACGTAGGGGGAGGGTGGAAGACAAACACGAGCACTCCACACGATCGTGGGACACAGGGATTATCGACAAGCTCTCGTGGGAAAACCGGTGTGTCGGTTCAAGTAAGAAAACCCGCCGGGCATTGATTAGGTGGTCAGTCAGGCACAGGCGTGGGAGCGAGACGGTCAGCTCATCTATGAGTAACTACACTTCCTTGACATCAAGCACGCATGGAGTACCGACCTAAATACCGACCCATGTCGTCAAAAAATGCATAGACAGCTATGCAAGTATGCATATTCCAATACCATCGGACATCAGGGTGTGACGACTGACAAATGGTTTCGCTAAGCACTGATGTGACACTTGTCGTCACTTAGCATTGATGTGACGACTGGCTTCGCTAAGCATACATTGCTCTGACGATTGAAGCCACCAGACATTGACGTGACATCACTGGTCGTTACCGCAGGTTCAGCGGCGGTGAGATCAAGCGGGGCTGTCTGGTGGAGTGGCCCGGCGACCCAGAGGTCAAATCATTCTCCGACTACGTGTGAGTACCTAGTACCTAACAGTAGTACTCGTAGTAGTAGTCCCCGGGGATACCGTAGAGAAGGGGAGAAAATAGAAGCGGGAAGAAGTGTCGCAGGATAGATAGGTGAAATTAGGGTGCGTAGTGCTTTTTGTTACAGGAATAGCGAGGGGTTTATTGAGTTTGAATGTCTGTTTCACTTCATACTGGCCGGTGTTGGGCTGTAATTTAGGCCCCGTAATTTGTTCAGCATTCAAGGGCTGATAAACCGTGGTCATATCGAATTAAATACTAAACATAGGTGGTCTTTTGCTAGTGGCAATCGCCCACCCGAGCTTGCTGACAAATTGATAGCGAACTAGGTTATTTACAGTGCTTTTTTGGAACGGTCTCAAGCGAAAACTCCCACAATGTTACTATGAATCTTCTTCGGTATTCATTTTTATCATGTATCATATAGTGTTTATCTTCTTTCCATGGTCGTTACATTCGTTAGGTACTACTCAAACTTGATTTCATTTTGAGTGTGTAGTTGATAAAACTGTTCTGACTGGATCGGATGTCACGTGCAGGTACAACATGGTATTCCTGATAACCACTTACGTGCTGCCGATGCTGGCCATGGCTGTATCCTACGTCATCATCGGTAAGTGGAAGAACCAGGAGAATGTAGAACCAGTGAACTAGTAGAAAATAGAACCAGTGAAATAGTAGAATAGTAGAACCAGTGAACCAGTAGAATAGGAGCCAGTGGAAGAATCAGTAGACCGTAGAACCAGTAGAACGTACAACCAGTGTGAGTGAGCCATTAGAATAGTAGAAAAGTAGATGGACCAGTATAATGTAGAACCAGTGAACCAGTAGAATAGTAGAACCAGTGGAAGAACCGGTAGAATGGGAAATCCATAAAACCAGTAGAATAGCAGAACAAGTGGAAGAATCGATAGAATGTAGAACCAGTGGAAGAACTAGTAGAATTTAGAACCAGTGAAACAGTATAGTGTAGAATCAGTGAACAAGTAGAATGCTGAAAACGGTTGGAGAACCAATAGAATCAGAAATACACCGAGCCAGTAGAATAGTAGAACCAGTTTAAGAACCAGTACAATCGGAAATCCAGCGAGCCAGTGCCAGCGGAAACCAGTGCAAACTGGTTACCTTGCATGTGATTGAAGAGCACCGAAGGGAGCTCAAAGTTGGAGTGCAGTTCCGTACAAACTTTGAGTGACTGGGATATCGTTTCGGCCCGCCGGTCAGTGCGGTATTTCCCACCGGGCAGCACAGTCCCATGACTAGTCAAGACCCATTCTTGACGTCAAGGTCAAGTCTTTTATACTGCGCACACCGAACAGTCTATATGTAAAATATGCGGCATGTGCAGAGCTTAATAAGTAGCGAACTACGCGGATGAATAACGTTATTTGAGAGAAAAACAGCTGCATGACCAAATAAAAAGTTGAACGCTACACCTGTGCGAGCACGAAAGTCTGTGATGAACGGCTACCGCTCCATCTGGAGTCATCAATATAAAATCTAACCATATGAATTCATTAAGGTAAATAAATCTGAGTTTTTCTCATATAAAGCGCAGGGCGCGCTTGGTAAGTTCAGATTTACATAGGCATGCTGCATATCGTTGCAATTCAGATATAAGATTACCGAATGCTAACGTGCGACAGACTGAATGATGCAAGTTTGTTTTGTATTGAAAGGTATTTAGTAATGATGGACTTGCTTTCTTTGCGTGGAATCGGTGGAAACGACTAAGTTTCTCGTCAATTTCGAACGCCACGAGAGAGTTAACCGGCAACTGCTTCAAACGTTTCCTCTGGATCCGCCGGTGGTGGCAGTTATTTTCACTCTCGAGCACTTCAACTGTAAGCAAAACAGCTATTTTGGGAACAATCTAGCGCCTGATGTGATCCACTAAGCTTAAATTTCAACTTCCAAGGCTAAGAATAGTCACCGTTCACCCCAATTTCGCATAGCAACGTCCAAAGTCAGCACAACTTCACTAATCACCAATATAATTGAGCCCCCAATCAATACCGGCATTTAGCCTGAACACACACAAACAAGGTAGTCCAATTTAATCGCACGCAATGGTAATGAAGGACAATGATAAACGATAGCCACTTTGTGACGCAACCAGCTACATTATTTCTGGCTTTATCGCGGCATTCAAACTTCACAACGCAGCTTCTCTTCAACCTCCCAATCCTCCGCCTCTCATGCTCCAGTGCAGTGTTCGCCATTACATTCCACCCACCTTGCGCATATAAGCATCCCCTGTGCCCCTGTATCCTGTATCCGTCTGGTCTAAAACAGCCCTACCTCGCTCCCTCGGAGCCATCGACACACCCGGTCAGGCCACATTGGTAAACGTTCACCGAATAGCAATGGGGTATTGTGAGCCCGCCGATGCGGTGCATTGCGAGCACGCTGTAGACCGGTCGCTAGGTGGATGAAGACTGAAAAGGCAGTCTCTGGTGGTATGAGGGACTTTGGATGGCCTAGCGAGGGCTTAGTGGGGCTTAGGAGGGCTCACAGGAGCTCAATATGCTGGCTGGGTTTGAAGCTTCGATCATAGCAGCTACAAATCAAAATTGTAAATTGGGTGTTTGCTCTGTTTTAGGGAAATTTAGTCACATACATCTTGCATGCATATATGTAGGTACCTAGACCAGCCATAACTGACATTTATTTAAAATGAAATAAGTAGGTATATAGGAGCATGTCACGCGTTACTTACGTACAAATATATCAAATCACAAACCAATCACAACAGAGCTAAATAAAGATCACTGCTGCCTAATATGCTTGTTACATGATATCAAAAGATCATCAAACATTGATTACATAATCAAGATAGAAAATAACTGAAGATATCAGATGTGGGTATGCAATTTACAAATAATAAATGTGATGATAGTAAAACTGTTGCGTGTCTTATTGCCAATTAGCCATTGTGACTAAGTACCAGTTTTTTAACGCATGCGTTATCTTAATATACCACATACATGTACATGAATGTTAATATGAAATTGAATCCCTCTCCTAAATGTAGGTCCTCATTAGTTGTTAACGAGTTGATGCCGGCAAAACGTGTGGCCTTTGTGATAAGACGGCGATTTGGCCTTAATAAAGTGTAGGAACTAAATAAGTTCCTGCTCAATTAAGTGGCCGCTAAACAAATAGCCAACAGATGAATGAAGCATAGATCACCCTATTACCGCCAGCTGCCAACTACACGTTATCTAGCGGCCTCAGCAACGAGCTGACTTGTCATTTGACGAAGCCTTGGTGGCGCATTTGGCAAGGTGTCAGTTCCAGGGACTGGAGGACCCGGGTTCGATTCCTGGTGCCGCCCATTCCCCTCTCGAGATGCCAGCAAAGCCAAACCTCGCTCCCGTTGTGTGATCTACCGTTATTATGATTGTCTAAATAAGGTCGGCATGGTAAAGAATAGATCTCCAACGCAAATAATGTTGCGTGCAAGTCAAGTAAATTCCACTTGCGGGGCGAGAATGCCATCGCCCCTGGCTGACTGAAGGGTAAATGAATAGTTAACGGTGCCCCTGGGTGTGCCTTAAATCCAACCACCTTGGTTCAGTATCCAGTTAGCGGAAGCGGTTGAGTAGCATTTTACTAAGCAGTTTAAAGTATTTAGATCTGTTTAACGCTAACATTGCATGGCACAATGCTTATGGAATATGTATACACTTGTCCGCAGGTCGGGAGCTGTGGGGCAGCAGAAGTATCGGTATTCAGACAGAGCGACAGCTGGCCTGCGTCAAATCCAAACGGAAGGTGAGCAACGATCGCGGGAAGGTACTCATACGCTAACAAACGATCGCCAGTCGAAGATCGATTCCCCCCACCCCCACCCCAGCCCATTTGGGGCTAAATTAAGTTTAACATACTGCGGCAAGCATGTTCTAGTGAAGTGTGTTTGGCTGCTAAAGAACAACGAACAAATACTCTACCAATGGTCACCAGGTGACCATTCGTAGTGGAAATTCCACACTAATAGAGTCCAGGGCCATTCTTAATTTGACATCATTCCTCAATTTGCCGGTTTTGCATGGCTGGTGGCAGACGATCATGGCAAATACATATAGAGAAACGTTATAATCGTTGCACTCGATTATGCAAAATGGATGTCGTTTCAGCCTCATTATTGTACAATGATCAGTTTCAAACGATCGGTCAATCAAAATTACCGTGCTGTCAGCTGCGCGATTGGTAATGATTAACGATTATGGATTTTTAACTATGCACAAAACGAGGAAGGAAATTGCAATGAGAACACATAGAACAGAGAACACCATTCCAACATAATTTCATTCATATTCTACGAAATATCATATTTTGGTGTGACATAGGTAATATCGTGATTAATAACAGATAAACACGGAATTGAATAATGCATTTTTTATTGTGCGAAAAAATGGTGTTTAACTGTTAAGCAAATAATACCATTTTACTTTTAATTTCACCCCCCCCCCCCCACCACCACCACCACCACTGCTACCGCATGCCAAACATTTTCTCACCCGTAAAATAGATGTTTCCTTGAAGCACAGGAGGCTCATTTCAAACATAATCAAACAACCACAAACACACCATCATACTTCACTGCTAAGTACATGGATCCAATCCTCTTCGAGCTGGTTCCGCAAACTAAGGGCTCTCTTCAGTTCTGCATCGTGTTGTGGGAAGGAGGATCACTTGTATCCGGTACGCGTGGTGCGTAATTGAATTTGTGCAAACAGGTAGAGAGTGAATACATGGAGGATTGAAAGTGAGAGGGAAAGTTGAGAGTGAGAGGAAGAGAGTGAGTGAGTGAGTGAGTGAGTGAGTGAGTGAGTGAGTGAGTGAGTGAGTGAGTGAGTGAGTGAGTGAGTGAGAGAGAGAGAGAGAGAGAGAGAGAGAGAGAGAGAGAGAGAGAGAGAGAGAGAGAGAGAGAGGAGTTGACACTCGTTCCGTATTTTCAGATCGTGAGGATGTTTATGATCGTGGTGGCCACGTTTGCGATATTCTGGCTACCCTACCAAGTCTACTTTGTCTACATCTACCACGACAGCTCGCTGAAGAGCAAGCCCTACGTTCAGGTGAGTCTGGGAAGGAAACACGGTGATATGCATTACCCGTAGTCCTTAGAATTTAGATCCTGTGCATGAATGGTAGTGTCAAATTGTAATTGGGGTGGAATGTAGTTTAGTGATAGTGTGGCATTGCGGATAGTCTGCCGGGGTATAGCCAAGCCCGTCTAGCCTCGCCTGAAATGGGAAGACCGGTAATAAGGCATACATCAAGCTGAAAAAGGCACAAAATAAGAAAAAGCAATAGGTATTTGTGTTATGAGGTTATCGTTGGGTGGAGCCAACAAATACATAAATGAAAATATTTTTATTTTTATTAATAATTTGGCTCCACCGATAACCTCATAACACAACTATGCCCTTTACATAAAAGCAATATTTTTAGTCATGCCAAGTCTCTTGAAGGTGTAGCGGGGTGTCGGGCTGCTACTGGTCAGTGTTTGTGCGAGGCTGGTCATTCACTGGCGGCCACATAGACTGCTACACACAGTACAGCGGCATGGGTCACAGGGTTGGTGGGCATTCACGGTGGGATATTAAAAGGTTGCCTGATGTTTCTCTCTGCCTACGCTCCCTTCTGTTATATTCTAACGAAATCTCAAAAATGTCTATCAATCAATGTTCCAGCGAAATCTCACAATTGTGCGTCTATTGTTCTTAAGTTATCCCCTGAGTTGAGGGTGCCTCCTCCCACTGGATATAACTCATTCACGCTCTCACCATTAATTCTCCATTCACACGGCCACTCATTCATTCTTCCATGCATCGTAAAAATATTTCAGGTGGCAAACCTGTCCCTCCCCCGTTTTCCTACAATCCCCCAGTGGTACCCAGGTTCAGACTAATCACTATACGCGTAATTATAAAAAAAGGTTTGAAGACAGGAACTTCCGTTTACGTATCAGTGCATACAATGGGTTTCAAAATGGGTCATTGTTTTAATTTTGTAAGCTTTGTTCCTTTACTATGCTCCGTAAATCAGCCGAACGCTTCGTTATACTCGTAACACACGAATAGAATATTACGAACCACCTCATGCTTCGGCACTCGAGTTGAGTTGACCATGCCCAATGCCTACACAAAGAAAGGGAAAACGTCTCCGGCCCGCAGCCCCGAGACCAGGGCTCGCAGGAGACTCCTTAGTCCGGCTTTCCACGGGGGACTCATTAAATTTTGAAACCGGGTTGGGTTACTAAGGTCCGTCCGTGATACTAATGACCGCATCTCGCACCAGCCATAGTTCAGGGTTTCCGGGCCAAACCGGCGATCTAAACGGGTTAGCCTACGTCGGCTATCTATCAAGACGACACTCGTCTTCCACGCACGCAGGTCCTCTCGGGGACATCCTGCACTCGGCATCCATCATCGACTACCAGCACATAGGTGCCCAGAGCCCTATCTATCCGTGGCTGGTAGTTAAACTGTCGTCACAGACCTATTCGAAAGGACCAGAGCATGGCCGGAGCTACTCGACTGACTGCGGGTGGCCAGCACCGTCTGACTGCGATCACCCGACTCGAATACTCGGTATCTAATGTTTACCCCCGTCCTGCGGCATTACACGTTTCTTCGCGGGGCATTACTCATCCGGCGGCATACGATCCCTCGCTAGAACGCCTGGGGTCCTAACCACCTCCGAAACTATCTACGTCGCTCTTCAAATGACGTCCTGCGCCGCTCACTTGAGGGACCGATAGCGGACCTACCTAACGTTTTGAAACCGGGCTGGGTAACTAAGGTCCGTCCGTGATACTAATGACCGCATCTCGCTCCAGCCATAGCTCAGGGGTTCCGGGCCAACCCGGCGGCCTAAAATTTGCCCAGCCTCCGAGGCTGTCAATCCGAGACGAAACACCATCATCTCGCGGCGACCAACTCGCCGATACACATTCCAAGCGACGGCTCGCGTGACCTTATCACCACCCAGGGCTAACTCAATCGAGGCCTAACATTTAGTGGGGTCGATCCCTATTGATCATCATTTAGGAAATCAATTTTTCTATTGCATATTTTCCCTCCTCTTTCATCCCCTTCTCATCCCTTCCTTAACCCGCGCTTGGGCATTCGCTAGAGCCATGTACGCCTTCAAGGAACAAACTGATAATAAGGGCAATTATCTCACCTGCCCGTCATTCAATCAAAAACCCACAACTAGCACGACTGACTTCAAATACGGTATCCCAACAAAATAAGGCAAATATTTCAATCAGCAATGTTTCCCTTCCAATAAAAATTATCAGTAGGCAACTGCAACCCATGCCCTGTTCCCAATACCTAAAGTAAGTGCGAGAGTCGCGTTGGCAGGCATATCACTCACAGGGGAGCGACATGCATAGACTTACGGCCTCGCTATCTGAGTCAAAGTCGGGTATTCTAGTCTCAATGGGAAGATGTGGAGTGCTACTATCCTTACGGCTTACAAGCTGAAATCAGGCTAGCATTTGACCTTGAGTACGAAATATAATGAAAATATAAAATGTATGGGTGCAAATTGGTTAATAATTAAGATTTAATTTTCATTTAATATTCACCATCGAACACATGTCGCTGAACATATTAACGCTAAATAATCTATATTATGATTTATAAGTTGTCTGTGCGTGCGTAATCCGTCATGACTTATGTGTCTTATTGCGCCTGAAAGGCGCCGCGTATCGGCGTGAAATTTGGCATGCCAAATCTGTGGGCGTGGGCGGCCTTTGTATTAAAATTTGGGCGTGATCGGACCAGGGGTGCGCCGTCAGCACGCGCTCGCGTGCGCCATAGGGTTAACACGGGAAACGGTCAAATCGAAGATCGGGCGAAAACCGGCCTGCGGCGCCCACTTCCCGGGCCCAAAACTTGGCGACAGATTGCCGTAGCGAGGTGGGGTTGCCACCACTGGATAGAGGAGAGATGGACCTAGCGTATTGACATGGTTTCATAGTATAGCACGCGCCACGTGCAAGACAGCACCCCCGGTTGTGAAAAAATGACCGATTTCGTGCACTGTGACGGGAAAATCGATGCCGCTGGGAAACGGCTTGACATATTGAAATCGGTGTGGTGCCATTTTGCAGGCAAATGTACGTGTAATCAGAGGATAGCAGATAAAAAGTGATGATCCGTACCATTTCCTTAATAATGAAAAATTAATTTGAAAATTTGATTCGCGTGGAGCGCGTCGTCCTTTACAACATCAAAACGTATTGAAAACGATGATCAATCGTTATGGAACCTACATATTCGGAAAGAGCATTCTTTTCTGACCAATATCCACCCAAAATATTATCGAAAAGTCAATAAACTTTTGTGAAAATGACTCAAGCATGTGACCGTGTTTTGTTAACGTTACCAGTATTTTTCGACAAAATCCGATCGATGGCTTATGGCCGTCAGGTCATTTCACTTTTCACAATAGCTATCAAAGCATGGGCTGCAATGCACCGCCCGCAAAGGAGAATTCCAAACACTGCAAATAAGCGCCTACCAGTAAACAGCACATTATTGTACTAGGAATAACTCAGCTGCTACTAGGCCGATTGCGCTGAAACTTGGACTGTGGTTGGAGGGGGCACTAACCTGGTGATGTATGGTCATTTGTGACAGGTAGGGTGGATCGATTGCACGTGCGCACGTGAGGGGTCCGCTTCTGCATATCAAGAAGGGCTGGGCCGATTTCGCTCAAATTTTGTACACTGTTGAGTGTTGGGGACAATTTAGATTTTAGAAAGGTTGCTGGCACAAGTCATCTGGAGTCTCAGCGCGTGCGCACGTGCAGCGGGCCAACTTTATATCTCAAGAACGGCTGGGCCGATTGCGCTCAAATTTGGTATGTTACTTTGATCGAGTATGAGAAGGGTAACTTTGTGTAGGTTATGAGTAAAGTAGGGTATGCGTAGGTTAGGGTAGGGTAGGGTGGGTTTGAGTTCGATAAAGGAAAACCATGAGAAAGGCTCTAACAACCCGCAACCAGCACCAGCATAACATGCCGTTCAAACAAATATCCAACTCCGACAAAATAAGACAAATAAATATCATAAGTTCTCACACCCAAACTAATGCCCCCTCAAACGCATCTATCAAAACGCACAGTTATAGCGCAAAACATGCCATCTAGTTAATTTTAAACTAGCCTTTCTATTTAACTCAGGTGCTAATCATGATCCTCTGTCGGTGGGATAACACCTTCTCGTGTGACGTCATCCACTTTCCACCATAAATTGCCGCACGGTAGCGTTCGGTATAGCATGCGCAGTATTCATAATAATCCAATTCCGGCCTACCGCCGCTCACTCGGAGCCGGAATCAGCCCGACCCCGTCTCTCCCCTTTGTTGACGGCGCGAGGGATACCAGCGGATCATTAGTGAGCCAGGTCCGGCCGCTGCCGGCGGCCTCCGAGACTGTCCACCGGCCCGCGACACTGTCCGCTGACCCCAGTTCATGGGCGCACCTCCGCTTGGTTGCTATAAATATCTTCCTCCGATCGCTCGTTGTTATCGGTGCTGAGAAGCCAAAGAGCGAGAGAGAGGAAGAGAGAGAGAGAGAGAGAGAGAGAGAGAGAGAGAGAGAGAGAGAGAGAGAGAGAGAGAAAGAGAGAAAGAGAGAGAGAGAGAGAGAGAGAGAGAGAGAGAGAGAGAGAGAGAGAGAGAGAGAGAGAGAGAGAGAGAGAGAGAGAGAGAGAGAGAGAGAGAGAGAGAAACTATAGCTAGTAGACCAGCACTCAACAGATCATAAACCAATAGGGCTTCATACCGATTGACCGACGCGACGGACCGGTTTATAAATCGCCGTGTTTTATTTGCAACATGACCAAATGTCACTGATTAACTGCTAACAAATTTAAGAGATGAGATCGTTATTAACATTTCCAACCGAGTTTATAATTTCACTTAAAATTTGATCAAACCTACTCGTACCAATTACCTACCCATGACATTGGATAAAATGGGTTCATTGCGATACTAGAATGAGCTAATTGACCACAAATCTAATATTGTTTTCAATGTGTTGATCGTACATTAAATGC